AGGATGTGGACAAAGGGGACCTTTTACGTACTGTTGGTGGGAACACAGGCTAGTGTAGTCACTGTGGAAAACAGTGTAGAATTACTTTAAAAAATTAAAAAATGGAACAACCTTTTAACACCACAATTCCACTTCTGAGAATGAATGTGAAAAAAACCCAAATGTTAATTCAAAGGAATATATGCATCCCTATATTTATTGCAGTGCTATTTACAATAGTCAAGATTTGGAAGGCTTCTGGTCAAGATAATGATGCAGACAGACAAGGCTCGCCTCTTTGCACAACAACATCAAAATTACAACTAAAATACAGCACAGCCATCAGTCAGGAACGTGGGAAATCAAGTTGAATGGAAGTCTGACGACTACGGAATTGAAGAAACCACATCCTTCCAGACTGGTAGGTGGGGTGAGGACATGGAATGGGCTGGCCACACATCCACATGGGTAAAAATTCAGGAGGGGTATCTCAGGACCAAGGAGTCCCAGACCCATTCCAGGCCCCCAGCCCAGGATTCCAGTGCTAGGAAGATCCCACAACTTCTGGCTGTGAAAACCAGCAGGGATTGAGTTGGTGGAGGAGGCCCCTGGAGCCCTAAGCAGCTCCTCTCAGGGAACCCACACACAGACCCACCTACTCAGACTCACTCCCTCTGAGCTGCAGCACTGGGGTGTCAGCTTGAAGGGCACCAGTGGTATAAAGGGAGAGATTAAAGTACCTGGCATTGAGGCAAGCAGAGGCCATTGTCCCTTTGCTAAGCCCTTGCCCCACAGAGCCAATATGCTGGTGCCATGGCTAACACTGTGTGACCCACCTTGGAAATCCACAGAGGCTCTTCTCCACCCAATTTACAGCCCACCCAAGCTGCTTCTCCATAAGAATGGCTGGTCTTGGCTCCTAAATCCTATCAAACAAGCCACAGCTGGCTTCAGTGAGTCTCAGCAGCAGCCAGATTAAAGTCACAGCTTGGCTTCACCTGGAAATCTCCAAGCCCAGCACAAGTAGCAGCCATCTCAGATTGCTTTACAGTTCAGGCAGGGTGCTCCAGGTAAAAAGCAGGTAAGGGCTGACCTTGGTCTGTACTACCAACGAAACCACAGGGCCAGGGCACCCAGTGGATAACTACACCACCACCCTGCTCCTGCACAGCTGATTCTCCATGAGAGGCAGAGGTTGGTGGTAGGCAGCCTTTGCAACTGATTGGCCTGGGCATATCCCTCCAATTGATCTGCTGACAACAACCAAGCCTCAGCTACAAGACAAGGATGTGTACTCAGTCCATATGAAGGGCACACCTCAAGTACCCAGCTTGGGTGATAGGAGAAGCTGCACCACTGGGCCCTACAGGACACCTACCACACTAGGCCACACTACCAAGACACAGAGTCAAAAAAAAAACTCTACCTAATACATAGAAACAAACAATGGAGGCTGCCAAAATGAGGAGACAAGGAAACATTGCCCAAATGAAAGAACAGATAAAATCTCCAGAAAAAGGGCTAACTGAAATCGAAATAAGCAATCTATCAGATACAGAGTTCAACACTGTTTAGAAGGATGCTCAAGGAAGCTAGTGAGGACCTCAGCAGCATAAAAAGATCCCGTCAGAAATGAAGGATACAGAAACTGAAATAAAGAACAATTTACAAGGAAACAACAGAGTGGATGAAGCTGAGAATCAAATCAATGGTCTGGAACACAAAGAAGCAACAAGCAACCACTCAGAAAAATAAGAAGAAACAAGGAATCCAAAAAAAACGAATATAGTAGAAACAGCCTCTGGGACAACTTTAAGAGGTCCAACATTCACCTCATAGGGGTACCAGAAGGAAAAGAGAAAGAGCAAGAAATTGGAATTCTACCTGAAAATATAGTGAAGAAAAACTTCCCTAATTTGGTGAAAGAAATAACATGCAAGTCCAGGAAGTGCAGAGAATCCCAATTATGATAGAAGCAAACAGGCCCACTCCAAAATACACCATTATTAAAAGGCTAAAGTTTAAAGATAAAGAGAGAATCTTAAAAGCAAGAGAAAAGAAGTTAGTTACTGAAAGGTTGCCAGAGGGGAGTGGGGAGGAGTGAAGAGGTGAGGGGATTAAGGAGTACAAATAGGCAGCTACTGAATAGCCATGGGGATGTAAATTATAGTATAGGAAACGGAGTGGCAAAAAAATGATATGCATGATCCATGGGCCCCCAATAATGGTGGGGGGATTGCCTGAGGGAGTTGGGGGTGCTGGGTGGAGGAAGGCAAAGGCATAAAAATCAGGACAACTGTAATAGCATAATCAATAAAATATGATAATTAAAGAAAAACATTTGGAGGTAGCCTAAGTGCCCATCAGTATATAAATGAATAAAAAAAGCTCTGGCACATTATACAATGGAATACTACTTGGCTGTAAAAAAAAGAGAAGGAAATTTTACCTTTTGCAACAGCAAGGATGGACCTGGAGAACATTGAGCTAAGTGAAATAAGCCAGTCAGAGAAAGACAAGTATCATATGATTTCACTCATATGTGGAATCTAATGAACAAATAAAGACAGACTCACAGATGGAAAGAAGGATGACAGCTATGGTGAGGGGTGTTGAGGGATTAAAAGAATAGAGCAAAACGCAAAACCAAAAAAAGGAAAAAACTCGTGGACATGAACCACAGTGTGGTGATTATCAGCGGTAGGTGGGGTAGGGGAGGTGGAGGAAAGTATGAGGTGGACAAATCATGATGGACAGAGACTCAGCTCATCGTGGTGAACACAATACAGTGCACAGAGGATGTGTTGTGCAGCTGTGCACCTGAAACCTGTATAATTTGCTAACCAGTATCACCCCAGTAAATTCAATAAAAAGGAAAAAATAAAAGGATGAGTATTAATTTACAAAAGGCAAGTCACACAGGAAGTTAAAATAGGCCTAACCTTCAGGAACACAGAGTAATATCCACTGGTCTAAGATATCCCTCTTAGAGCAAAACATCAGTGACTGCCCGTGTGGGGCTCCTGTATTTGAGGAATACACTTCCTAGTGTCCTTGATTTTTAAGGCAGGTGGGTATATAGGGAGGGGAAAGCTAGGAAAGGAGTAGGGAAAAAGAAAAATACATTTTCAAGTTAGACAAACTTCATGGTGTAAAATCCCAGTGGACATGAACTAAATTTCACTGGCAACTACACCCACGGTCAGAACAACTAAAGAAGGTCATTTCCAGAGGAAAATTCCAGGTTCTGGAGTGCCAGGATTAGAAACCAATGGCAACTCGCTTGAAGTTCTAAGAGATGGTCTTCAGTTCTCTTCCCTCCTTCATTTTCCAAAACCCTAGCCTTGGTCTTAGGCTAAACTATAATGTGATATTAAGAAAACCATGGCTGAGGGACATGTCTTCCACAAGAAAGGTATTCCATTACATTACAGAGAACTCAACAGGGTCTTTGGAGCGAGGCCCAGGTACCAATCCTGACTCTTGAGTTACGAGCTGTCAGATACAGTCAAGTTCTGTGACCTGAGTTTTAGGATGCTCATCTGTGAAATAAGGGCAAACTACAAGGACTTGGAGTTCTTGTTGGCATGAGGACAGACCAATCAGGGACTGGGGCGGGGACTCCAGTCCATATAAGCCAGCTTCCTTCTGGCTCTGGGAGCCCGCTTTCCCTTTCCACCAAAGACTGGAAGTGTGTTTTCCTGGCTGAGCTAAAACAGAGTGGAGCAGACCAGTGCAGCACAACACAGACCACACAGAGAGGAGCAGACCAGACCAGTGGGGAGCAGAGCTGTCTAACTGGTGAGGGGTGTGGCCCCAGGCCTGCCTCACAGCCTGGCTGTATCACAGTCAGGTTGTTCCACAGCTGTGTTGTACCACAAACAAAGAAAGTTTTCTTTTTTACTGCACCCCAAACTGGGGATTCCTGTTAGCATAAAGTTGGTGCCAAAGACCATCTGTTGAAAATGTGTAGGGAGAAATGTTGTATATGTATGGTTCAGGGTTCAGTGTCGTCTGAGGTTTTGGGGAGTTCTTGGAACCTATGTGCTATGAATAAAGGGGGGCTACCCTGTAGGAGTTTCCTCATTTTTAAAGACAGTGCCCACCTCTGTGGTCAGGGATAATAATACCACTTTGTAAGGTCTTTTGAACATTAGATGAGTGGCCCAAGTGTCCATCAGTAGATGAGTGAATAAAAAAACTGGTACATTTACACAATGGGATACTACTTGGCTATAAAAAAAAAGTAAAGAAAGACTTACCTTTCACATGGTAAGACAGTATGGATAGACCTGGAGAACATTATGCTAAGTGGAATAAGCCAGTCAGAGAAAGACAAACACCATACGATCTCACTCATGTGGAATCTAATGATCAAACTGAACTAACAAGCGAAATAGAGACAGACTCACAGAGTGCAGATGACAGCTGTGGGGGGTGGGGGTGGCTGGAGGGAGTGAGCAGAAAAGAAAAAACAGAGAATTCCTGGACACTGAACAGTGTGGGTAGATGGGGGAGGGGGCAATGGGGTAGGGTGGGAGGAAATATGTGCTGATGGACGCGACTTGGGGTGGTGAACACCCAATGCAGCATGCAGGTGTGTGGTAGAATTGTGCACTGAAAGTCTGTTATAGTTGTGTTAACTAGTACCATCCCAATAAATTCAATAAAAAGGAAAAGATTAAATGAGGCAGTTGGTACACCCCTTCCTTACGAGTCGTATCTGGCACACAGGAGATGCAGAATAAGTGCTAGTTGTTTATTGTTGTTGCTGCTGTTGTTAAGTAACATGTAATGTACTAGGCCATCACTGAAAGAGTATATTCTATAAATTGTTATACTTACTAGTTCAAAAGTTGTAACTGGTTATGTTCTGATAAGTCCTCAATTATTCAAGCTGAATTTACAGGCACATTTATCTTTAATTTTAAATGTTTTATTGAATTATACATACAGTAAAGTGTAGGCATCTTAAATATACATTTAATTCTATTTAACCTTGTTTTTAGGTGACTTTAAAAACTAAGAAGATTTTTCTGGTGAGTCTGTCAATTAGAAAAAAGAAGATTAATTTATCTAATTAAAAGACAATTTTATTCAGAGGGAGAGGAAAAGAAATACAACATCAAATGTACACATTTAAAACCAACGAGCAGCACCCTTTTTCCCTTTTTCTCCAATGCAAGCTTCACTTCCTGTTAATAAACATCCTTAGCATGGAGTGTCTACTCCGTGAGAGGCACTGTGCTGTGTACACAGTCTCTCCTAGTCTTCATACATGGCCTATACAATTGGTATTCATTTCTGCTGACAAAGAAACTGGGTCTCAGAGAGAGATTTGCTTAGGCCAATTCATCTAGGCAGAAGAGGTGAATTCGAACCCAAGCCTGTCAGACTCCAATGCCTAGACACTCGGAAGTGCACACGGTCACTGTCTCCAGGTGCACCATACCGAGGATGTTTACTGCACTCAGAATACCATGAGTGACCCTGAAGACCTGTTGGGGTAGGGGAGTGGAAAGATAGATACATGTTTATACAGGGGCGGGCAAAAGTACATTAATAATAATACTAAACAACACAAGAATTAATAAATAGATGACAATACAAGAATAAACTGTTTCACTTAGAACTATAAACCTACTTTGCTCACTTCTATGACATACCCACCACAATTCATTAGGGGATCTCCTTTTGCTGAAGTTATATAGAGCATAAAACCTCACTGGTATAGAATATCGGAGATAACGATCATGTTGAATTAGGGGAGAGTAGAAATTTTAAATTCATTTTAAATAAGACAGATTTTTACTTATGGATTTCAAAATGGATTCTTCAATAAAACCCTTCAAACTAGGCCGAGTTGGTATTATCAAACTAACTTTATAGTCAAGAAAAATAAGAGCTGAAAAAGCTCGGTGTCTTGCTGTTTAGTGATAAACCCACACCTCCCTGTTCTGCAGGGTGACCTAACAAATTCTTCCTGACAATTGGTGGATAAGAATGATATGTGTTCTTATATTAATTATTCACATATTATAAGCGATAGCCTGAAGTGCTAAAAGATGTATTTCAAATGTTCCTCTTGTAATCACATTTACATCATTCTGCATTACTTAGCAAGGCCGGGTTTGCTAAATGAAGGAAAATTTCTACCCAGATCCCAATCAAGTTATTATAAATTCCAAATTAATAGGGTCTAAATAAATAAGAGCTTATTATAGGGCTGAAAGCTTATTATGTTATTTTTTTCTATCTTTTTTCATTTGCTTCAGCCCCAGTTTGAGTATTTTATCTACTTTTTTTCCCATTTCCTCATTAGAGTAACAGGGCAAGAGAGGCCTACAAGGAAAGAATTTCTTGCACACGATCAAAATTAACAACCTGAAATTATAGAAGGTGTGGAGAGGCATCTTTTTGGTAATTTATCATAATGTTTAGTGACAGCAATTTGCTCTAATGTAATAACTAATCTTTACTTCTCCTGGGTATGTGTTGTGTTCATCAGTTTATGCTTTACTTACATTTTTTTATTACTCCATTTGTTAAATTATTTAAACTTACGAGGCAACCTCTAACTTATTAATAGTAAAGCAGCCTTCTGAAACGGGAGTCATGCAAATAATTATTTCATTTTTGTATCCATATTTTTAAGGAAACAAGATGTTTTTTGTCATTTCCCAGGGGATTACAGGGACTAAAGAGCTTGAGATCATTCACCATCCCCCCACCCCCACTGCCAGCACAGATAACCCAGCTTGAACTCCAAGGGCTCTGAGAACTATCTCTCTAAAGCAAACTTTATATAAAAGTCATCTCCGTGTAAATGGGGTTTTCCTCATGCTGGGTTTCCTGAGGCTTTTAGAAGAGTCCTAAGGGATTAAGACGAGTGAGAGACAGGCTGATAACATGAAAGACCTAGTGCTCTTAGAGGTATTTCTTCCATGATTAAAAAGTAATGATTTTTTTGTTTGCCAGGTGCAAGGAATAAACACTCCTGGATTCCCTCGGTTCCGTCTTTCCCTCTAATCTACAAACAGGCCCCAGAAAGCTTCTCCGTCCCTTCCCTCAGCCGCAATTCTCATTCAGACGTCCTTCCTGTTTGGGCTTCTATTTACTTCCATTTGCTCCTTTCCTTTCCTGTATGGGCCTCTAAGTTTGTTTTCAGGGTTCTCACATTTTTCTATTTCTGAATTGTTTCCCTCTGCGGGAAACAATCTCTGTATCTCACTCCTTTTTCATTTTGCTCCGTTTGTTTTGTGTCTCATATTATTCATCATCTTTGTTCCTGTTTATTTCTCTTCTTCTAGCTCTTATTTCTTTATCTCTGGCCCTTATTTCCTCTCCCTGGTTCTCCTGTTCCCATCGCGATGTCCTTTGACCAAACATCCTCTCCCTGCTCCCTACTTAAAGCAACTGAAGAACGTTCCCCACTAGAATGGAGTGGAAAGGTTAGAAGAGAGAATAGAGGTGGCAGACTGAACCGGGAAGAGCGTGTTTAGTCATGTTAATACCTTCGCCATCCTCTATGGGTCCCCTGCAGTCTCTTCCAGGCCTGCATGCATCCCCGCCTGAGAACAAGGCAAACGCAAAGGGAAGGAAGCCTCAGAGGAAAGTGCAGGTGAGGACTCAGGGACAGCCACTGCAGAAGCTGCTTTCAAATACCGTCAGGTCAGCATCGGCTCAGAAACGATGGAACAGGGCTGTGTTTAAAGTGGAGAGCCACTCGGATCTTCTTCCCAGCAGAATCCATACCTTCTAGAATCTGAAACTGAAGGTTTAAGGATGATCAGAATGTTTCCACTTGACCCTGAATTACTTTAGAACTACCTGTAGGAGGGTGCTAATGCCAAGGACCTCCAGAACAAACATCTCACTTCATGACTTGGCCGTGACCCAGCCCCCCCCCCGGCATCTTTTATTTTTTAAATATTTCCAGATATGTTTATAAATAAATCGTACCTTTATAAACCACTTTGCCTCTGCTCAGTTGTACAACAGAGGAAAAATCCGTGACAGTTGACATTGTGGAAAGTTTGCTCTTCTCTTAGCCTTGTAGGGAAGGGGGGGAGAGGGAAGCACGGTGAGTATTTAAAAGCCAGAGGAATGAGCAGCTCTTACAAAAACAACTTCATCGGCCCAGCAGTAGTAAGACAATCAAAGGTACAAACAACTTGACCTTTCTTCTTTCCCTGCCGACACCTGGGACAACGATGCCTGGTGGGGCCTGAATGTGTGTGGTGCAGTCAGTAGTTTGGGGACAGCGGGGCCCAAGGAGGTGCGTCCCCCTTCCCCGCGGAGTGCCGCTGCTGAGGAAGGGTGATGACGAAGCTGACTCCATTTTTCCTTTTTCAGCCAGGTGTCAGTTTGTTGATTTTGAAACTGACTCCCAGGGAAAATACCTCACTGTTCAAATTCAAAACAACAGCAAACCCTGCACTTTCACATGCTTTTTATTTGGACAAAAGGACTCTTTTCTTTAGGGTGAGGGAAATAGGGGAATCACCCCAAATTTGTAACACTGTTTGCTAGCATCCTCTGTGACCCCAGTCCCTCCTTGCACTCTCACCCTGGCCTACTTACTGTTCAGACAAGGAGCTGCACCTTAGGAAGAAGGCAAGCAAAGGCTCAGGGCTGAGGTCCGCTAACCCAGCACAAGAAGGGTGGGAGCACAGGGCTCGTCTGGGGCGCAGGACCCCAGGAGGCCTTCTTGGTAAGGCAGCTTCAGGCTGGAGGTCTGCCCCCTCATGTGGGGAGAGGTAAATAGGGAAAATTACCTGCCGTCTTGGTCCAGGGGCCTCTCCTTAACATTATCTGAGGATTTTTGTTTTTATTTTCTGGCTCCAAAAAGATCACCAAAGCATGAGTTGAGAACTGAGTCTGTATAATAGAACCACACACATGGAGGAATCAGTTATATTCTCACAGATACACATACAAAAATGATGCACTGGGGTTCCAATGTTTGTGTTATCTTTTCCCCTCTAAGATGGGTTTAAAATAAAAAGAAACAAGAAACAAAAATGAAACAAGAACAAAAAATTCTTGGCCAGTTCCTGGTGTTCTTGAGATTTTTAGTTTTGTTTTTGTTGGTGAACCCTCCTGCCGCTGATTCCTGTCTCCATGGCCGGCATGAGAAGTAGGGTCACTGCCTGGTCTCAGGGCACTGATCTCCTCTGGGGAGCCCCAGCACTGTCTTCATCTCCACTTGCTAGAAGGTTGGGCTTGAAGCAGCTGTGCACAGCGTGTTAGCTCCCGCACCTAGCCGAGCAACAGTCCAAGTTAGGGCGGTGTGCCAAGCTGGGCTCTGTACTTGTCCTCTCTGTCCTGTTGCAGGGGGAGGGCTTCACCGGCTCTCCGCATTCCATGGGAAGAGAGGTACCTCCGGGCCAAGTGTCCCAGAAAAACCTACCACCACAGTGGAGAAGCCATGAACTGTTGTTACTTTGTCACACAGACATGTCACTGCAATAGGCTGAGGTTTCACCCTTCATCTTTCTGATCCTTGTTAAGGACACATGAACTGAGTAGATGTGTCCGTTTCTGCCATAACAAAGTATCACAGACTAGGTGAATAGCCATTTCATAAAGAGAAACTTAACTCTCTCACACTTCCAGAGGCTAGCAGTCCAAAGTCAAGGTGTTGGCAGGGCCATGCTCCCTCTGAAGGTTCTGGGGAACTGTTCCAGGCTCCCTTGCAGCTTCTGGTAGCTTCAGGCATTCCTTCACTTACAGACACATTACTCCAGTCCTCTGGCCTCTCACTATGCTCTCCCCGCGTCTCCCCATCTTCTCCCCTCTTTGAGTGTCTGTCTCTGTACCCAAATTTCTCCAATTTATAAGGACAACAGTCCTATTGGATTGGGTCCCACCCTAATGGCCTCATTTGAACTTCATTAAATCTACAAAGACCCTTTTTCCAAATAAGGTCACATCCTGAAGTTTGGGGATTAGCACTCTAGGATATCTAGTTTGGGGGACAAAATCCAGCCAATAACAATTGCCAGCTTTGTTGTTTCCTCTCTGCTGTTCTGTGGGCCAGCACGTGCAATGTTTTGTAATAACTAGATTCAAACAAATGGCAAAGGAGAACTGCTCCATAGGTTAAATAGTGGCCTTGGCTCTAGAAACCTCTGCTTGGCCACTTCCCCTGGTGTGGTCCTGCTCTGTCTCCTCTTCCAGTTTCCCTGAGTGAAGTGAGAATCCGATTTGTGCTTTCAGTTGAGGATTCTCTTTTCTAAGCTCTCCTCCAGTGCTGGGACACATCTGAGTCCCTTTTCCTTTTTGTAATAGTGGCTCTCTCAAGTAACAGAAAACTTGTTATTGATGGGGGGCAGGTGGTGCTGGAAAATGTGTCCACACAGGAGCTAAGAGTTGCCCAATAGCAATTCACACCATTAGTGGGCAGTCACATAATAAGACTGTGAATGCTTAAGAGAAAAAGACACCTACCAAGAAGGGCTCCTGGTGGCTAACTGGGCTCAAATTTATTAAAAAACAAACAAAAACAGACAAAACAGACCTTAGCAACCATTTGTACAGAGGCCTCTCGTGCAAACTGCATTTCACAGAGAATCTCTGCATTGAACTGTCTGCTTACACTATGCTTCTGCCATCTGAGCCAGCCCTTGTAAAGGTTTTCTGGAATCTTGTTTCAACCAATAGGACTGCAGCTTTCTCCATCCAGTCAGAGCTATGCAGCTCTGACCAATCAGGACAGTGCCTTTTGGACTAATCAAACTATGAGAATTTGGAGTCTTCATTTGCATGAGGACAGACCAATCAGGGACCAGGGGTAGGGGAGCCGGCTCCCCTCTGGCTTGGGGAGTGCAGCTTTGCTTCCAGGGAGGAATGGAGACTGTGTCTCCCTGGCTGAGCTATAACAACAAGGATGTCTCGCCAGAGCCGAGCTGTCTAGCCAGCAAGAGGCCTGGCCCCAGGGCCGCCTGGCCCCAGCGCTGCCCTACAGCTGTGCTGTTTTCACAGCAGTTGTTGTATCACAATTGAGCTGTCTTGCACTGAATAAAATTGCCTTTTTGACTGAATCCCCAAATGGGGATTTTTGTTGCTGTGAATTGGCACAAATGACCATCAGTTGACAAGACTGAAAGTGATATTTAAGTCCTGAGATTAAAAGTATTTGAAAAGAACAATTATTGAGATTGGGTTGCCACAGCATTTTCTTTTTCTTTATTTTTATGAGATTTTTAAAATTTATGTTTAAAGAGAAGGGTCAGGGAGGGAGAAAGAGAGAAACATCAATGTGCCCCGACCAGGGACCAAACCCGCAACCCAGGCATGTGCCCTGACTAGGAATGAACCGGCAGCCTTTCACTCTATGGAATGATGCCCAACCAACTGAGCCACACTGATCAGGGTGTCACAGAATTTTCTTAGTAAAGCCAGAGCACATGGGTTAATGAACATCTTGGGTTCTTCTCATTTTCTAGGCAACATTCACAACAAACCTCCAGGGCTTACCACTGCATTGGTGTGGTTGATCATCTTTCATTCCCATGGTCCTTCCTGCCCCATCAGGTCCTCATGTCCTCCTAAGATATGAAGTGTGGGTGACAAAAACGAGTCCATTAAGTCATGGGGGGATCCCCCAGGTGGTCTCTGAGAGCACCAGGGACTGGGGCGCCTGCCTAGGGCTGCCCTCCTCTCAGCTGGCTGCTCGCTCCCTGCACAAACGGGTGGTATGCTAAAACATGCTGGTTCCATTGACAGGTTGGGCTAGTTTTCAGTGTCATGTTCAAACTTCTGCTTTTGACTTTGATTTTCCCGTTTTTCTAGTTGGGCAAGACTTGGGTAGATAAGTTGGATCCGAGGAGAGATTTCTCACCTATCCCACTCTGGCTACAAAGGTGCCTTCCTCGCAGGTGAAATTTAAAAGGGAAATAGGTGAGAGTGAGCCTAGAAGAGCCAGGTGACAGAGGGACCAACCCTTGTTTTTGCATAGAGCAGGCAGGAATGATTCATGCACACAGGGGTGGGAGACTGGATAGCTCTTTTTTCTTCTTTTTTCACTTTTTCTCCCAATTGGAAAAATTTATATTTTTCTTTTTGATCATTTATGAGCCCTATACAAAATTAAACAATACAGAGAGAATGAAGCTCTCTGCGATCTTGATGCTTCAGCACGTCGTCTAGGGTGGCACGTACGCTGAGGATGGTTCAGGGTATTTCCTTCCAGACTGGTTAACGCAAACACTACAGAGGTTCACACCTAGGTCTCTATCTAAATGGAATCGTTAACACAGCACTCTGATTGTTTTGTACCTGCTCTTTGTCTTCTTACCATGCAGGTATTTTTCATGTCAAAGCATGAAAATGTAACCTATATTTTTAAAAGACATGTTTTAAAATAACAGAAATTCTTGCACAGATTCAAACTATACAGAAAAGTATACAGTGAAAAGTGAAAGTCTTCCATTCTTTACCTCCAGTCCTTTTTCTCAAATGGTAACCATTATAACTATACCAACAGCTTTTATATATCCTTCCAGGAAATACTGTTACCAATATTTGCATATATGTACAATAGATAACTTCTGTTCTGTACCTTGCTTTGTTTATACAGTACACCTTGAAATTTTAGAGAACCAATGTATAGAGACATACCACCCCCTTTTCGACAGATAGCTCATGGCATGAATGGAACATCATTTAATTAATAAGTTCTCAATTAATGCATATGTAAATTGTTTTAAGATTGTGTACTAAGACAAACAGTGCTGGAACAAACATCTTCACACACACGTCTCTGCACACAGAATAAAATGTTGGTGCTCATTTCCCCACACCTGCTGCAGCACAGAGCACTTGACTGATTGGCTTCTTTTTTACAAGAATTTTTGCCAATTCTTAGTGGTGGTAGCTTGCTTTAACTTTTATTTCTTTCATTATTAAGGAACTTAACCCTATTTTATATTATTTGTTGCCCTGAATTGCCTGATTATGGCTTTTGCCTTGATGTGGCTGAAAATATGTATCTTTTTCTTATTGATTTATAAGAGGAGGATTGTATTTGAGATGAAAACATGCACACAGAACTCCAATAATGTAGTTAGAAGATTTTTACAGGTACATATTCTTTACATATTCATAATTATGTAATAAACCCAACAGAGACCAGGCTAAAGTTCATATCTGTTAAAACGAAGTTTTTTTCTTAAAGTGGAAATTATGTAAAAAAATAAAATGGAAATTATGTTTTCGAAAACAGATACAGGAGAAAAGAACAGCTTGTTTTCCAGCGTCTTTTGCCATTGAAGGGGCACTTCCAGGGAGGCTGAGAAAGTGTTAAGGGAATTCCTATCCACTGAACACACATTCCTCATCAGCAACTCTTTGCTATCCTATCTTAAGATACACATTAGAAAAAGTAATAAGACAATTCTAAGGGACCTCCACTCTTTCTGACTGATTCCCCTTCAGTCAGTCCAAATCCTGGGCTTTTTAAATAACACTTAAGCACAAGCCCATTTCCAGAGCCAGTGACATCAGAACCGTCAGCACTGCATTCGTTCCCCTCCCTCACACGTTTTCCTATGGGATGAGTGGCTTCCTTGTTCACATATGGAATTCACTGATCACAAAATGGCTTTCATCCAGATGCAAAATGTGAAAAAATGAACTCACGGGAAATGACCCTTGAAATGCACACCACCCTCCAGGCTTGAAAGGATTTTCTATTTCATCAACTTTAGATGAGCCATAATAATAAAACATAAAATATTATACAAAGACCAGGAAACCAAGAGCTGCATAGCTGATAGCTCCTCCCAGTCTCACTTCCTTGGCCTCCCTGTCAGCACACAAGGCCAGCCCCCGGCCTCTCCCCAGGAATCACAGCCTTCCATTGAGAGGAGGGTTCCTTCTCTGTGCTTCTAGAATACTCTGTGCACACTTCTCTCCCATCACTTACTGTAAAATTTTGAAATTCGATGGGAAGTGTCCTCATCCCACCTTGATTTCCAGCATCACAGGCCCGGGGCCACGTGATATTCATCTTTGTGGACCTGCTCCCTCTCATGGCTCCTGGCACTTAATGGGTTTGCAGTAACTCCTTGTTTTGCTATGTAGTTAATGTTTTGAACTACGTGGAGAATAGTTTGCTCCCACCTTCTGTTCACCTGTTAAAAACAGCAGATTGCCCCTTAATAGCCCTTACCACCCCTTCCCACTATATCCTTGCTGGAGGAGCCTTGGTTTGGTTTGAAGATTCACTCTGCAGTAAGCTACATGCTCAGGAATGAGTCCTCTTGCTGGGCTGGGCTGGGCTGGGCTGGGGGCCTGAATGGTGACTGCTCTGGGCAATTTGGCTGTCCCAGTCCCCTGGCCTGTGGGCCAGTCCTAGCCAAGGAGATCTGAGAGTAAGTCATCTGGGAGCTCTAAGAAAAGGCTTTTCTTTCAGTACAAAGCGCTCATGGGAGGGGAGCCCTGTCTTTCACTGGGCATTACTATATTGCATGGGGTATCTGGAGTTACTGCAGACACCTCGCAACACGAGGACATCTGCGACCTGCTGAAGACTGTAGAGACATCCCCCATGGTTGGGTGGCAGGGGCCCTGCCTGCAGATTTCACCAAGAGATAATTAACCTCTGAATGTGCCCTAACTGTACATCAGCACATGGTAAAAATGGGGAGAAACCAGAGTGGAGATAGGAGCCGTCTCTTGGGGAAAATAGAGTCAAAATCAAAAGTTAAAAGGAATCAGTTTCATCTTCTGGTAGGGCAGCCTGTGGATAAACCTGGCTGCTGTTTTCGAGTTTATAGAGGGTGTCTTGGGTGAAATATCACAGTTATTTCCCATGACTTCCAAAGATGTAACTGGAAGAGGAAATTCAATTAAAGCAGGAGAGACTCTGGCTGGATTTAAGCAAGAATTTGCCTGCAGAAATGATAAACCCTGCCACGGCCACTGAGGATAAGAATCTGTCCTTTGAAAAAGGACAAGAATGGAAATCATGAGTCTCTGAGCAGTTTATCACCCTCTTACTTCAGGCGATGAGAGGAAACACAATACCACTTGAAGTCTGTAATTTTATGCGAATCTAGATTATAGAAGCGACTGAAATTTAGACAGTTGAGGAGTCAGCTTTAGGCCTCCAAAAGTATTCATTAGGCTATAACGGCAGTTTTCAACCTTTTCCATTTTGTGGCACACATGAACTAATTATTAAGGTCCTGCAACACATCAAAAAATACATTTTTTTTTACCAGTCTTGACCAAAAAGTGGTGTAATTTTGATTCATTCATACTGGATAGCTATTGTGTTGGCTGTTGTCATTTCCTTTATTTGACGATCTCAGGGGAAAGGGGTCAGTGCTCCTGACAAAATAGTCAGGCATTGCACGTTTTCAAAATTCTCTCGGCCCACCGGTTGAAAATGACTGGACTCTAAGTTTGATCTGACAAAGCTGGAAATACCTGCTTCAGCACTATCAGGCCAGGTGTCAGTCTGACTGGTTTATAATTTACATTGAACACACACTACTTATCGGAGCTCTGTGATTAGTCACATGCCCACAGCGAGGACGTGGCCTGAGAAATGCAGCCTCAGGGAAGGCGGCCGAGTATTTCCGGGGTGTTTATTAGTCAGGCTGATCCTAATCTGAACCTACTTTTCTATGCAAGAATGTAAAAATGAGTTCTGGAGCCGGTGAGTCCCTCTGACTATGTCAACACTCTGGAGTACACATGGCATTCAAGTCACCTGGCAGCCAGGTGCAGAGCAGCGCTGCTGAGGGCCGCCCAGTCCCGAGTCCAAGGCCTGGGTCAAAGGAACTGCTCAAACCAATGATACTGCGAGGTGGTTTACTGGCTGTGAAATTAAAGCATGGATCATAATGAACCTGGGAGAGTAACTACCTCTCCTCTTACAATCAATTTTATATAAAATGGCTGTTAGCAAGACTCTCACATTAACCCCAGGAACTGGTGAAAGTACAATAAGGGTATATGAAAATCAGTTTTTACAGGTTGGCTTTCACTGGTTTGATTATATGTACAGGACCACCTCCTTTAAGTGTAAAGGTGGCCAGTGAGGCATTTCTCCTCCTTCTAAACTTGGTGGGACAAGTTGAAAATGCAGATTCTGTGTATTGGAACTCATTCTTTCCCAGACCAACAAGGACTCTTTCAGTCATTCCAGGCCTGTTCCTCCTGAGGATGCTGTCTGAGCTGACACAGACGTCAGCTGCCAGTGCAGGTTCCCCTCCCAGCCCCCCTCCTCCTCTTCCTTTACATGGATTCTCCAATTTCTCTCCTCGCCTTTCATCTCGATTTTGAGACTCCCTTCATGCCCTGCCGGATTCTCTCCCACACTGGGGCTTGCACTCCCTGGTGGCTCAGCAGCTCTGGAAACAGCCTGTGGGTTTTGAAAGACCTTCAGACGAGATGCTGCGAGGAGCTATGTGGCCACTGCCGCCCTATCCCCTTCATCTTCTCACTCCCCATGGCTGGCAGTGGGCAGGGGGGAGTCTCCAGGCTTAGTGGGTGCCAACTGGACTGTGCTGTTTGGGTCCTCATTCTCTTCAGCTCAAAGTATGTAACAATCTCTCACCCAGGACACCGATGCCTTACATCTTGGCTTTGCAGTCACCCAGACCTGGGTGTGCCCCCTCCTCAGCCACCTCAGTTTCCTATAAAAAACAAGAAACTACCTACTTCCAACATGGTAAGAATGAAGTAACAGACATTTAACAAACATTAATTACTCACTGTCATTATAAAGAAGGAAAAACCCTTTTTTACAGCAAAAGAGACTTCTACATACCTGTGCTCAGAACATAGCAATAGAGAGCACTGCTGCTTGCACTCTGGTCATTTCCTTTAAAAGAAAACCCCTGTTTAGGGCCTACAACCCCAGCAAAATCGCTGCAGCACTGAAGGACCTCACGCCCGGGCGCAGAAGAGGACTGTTTTCCTAAAGCGGTGGAGGTGACGGCAGCGTTGCATGTAGCACAGGCCTCCCTGGGACACGGGAAGGTTAATGAGATAACATCTAGATGGAAAGTGCTGAGTGTGCTAAATATTACCGTGTTGCAATTGCCCTGATACTGGAGCGAGCTCTCCTTCCTGCAGATTATCCAAGAGCCTGCCGCTCTGCAAGCGATGGTGCAGGAGGTGAGGAGTAAGGAGGCAAGTCAAACCCGGCCGTCCAGGCCACACTGCTCAGCGATGGTGGGAGCCCCAGACGGGAAGGGACTTTGGCCTCTGCGGTGCTGCAGCTGGCCTGTTTCACTTTCTGGGTTTAGAATGTTATCTAGCTGTGTCTGGCGGGTTTCCTGGAGGCCACTGACTGCCCAGATGTGGTGGACCCCTCCTCAGCCCTGGGACCTGGGCTGGCTACGCCACCTCTCTGAGCCCTGGTTTCGTTACTTGGAAAATGAAGAGAACAATCCCTATCTATTTCACACAATCTTGAGGCTACACAGCAAAAGAGCTTTGACAATCATAATGTGACTCACATTAATGTGAACCATCAGATGCCACTTTCTGTCCTCTCATTTCTTATGGGACCACAGCCAGTGTTAGGCAAAGGTCTCTGACTTGCATGTCACCAACCATCATATACCACAAAGTCTAGATGAGTTTCCACAAGGCTGAATATGGATTAGGAGCATTGAGAAAAGAAGGCACTACTGGTTCTCTTTTTAAGGACCAGCGTATCCGTGGCCCAGTGCTTACAGTGTGTGGATCCACTAAGCCATGCTGTTACATTGGAATAGACTTATCTTTTATGTATGTAGCACTAGAATTTTTCAAAATCCTTTTACATGTATTACATTATGGTGGTGTTTAGTGCTTACCTGTGGGCCCCTATCTCTCCCAAATAAATCTTTTGGGATATATGCTTTTCTCCCCACCATTTGCTAGTACTTTGCTCTGGAAGAGGCAAAAGCCCAGAGCTTCAAGGAGCCAGGGCGTGACCCTGGGACTCCTACTGGATGTGGCCTTGGTGGCAGCAGTCACTAAGGAGATGAAGATAGCTCCGAGCAGCCCAGCCGGTCTCATGGACCAGACACAGACGGCCCTGTTCATGGGGAGACGGGCACCTCTCCATGACCTGCGGTCACCACAGCAGTTTCAGGAAAGGCTCCCACGTTCCCAGAGACTCAGCTGCTGCCGACTGACAGACCAACCCCTCAATAATCTTATTGTATGTTTCAAAATAATTCTCTGTAATGCCCCAAGAATGCCTGAACTTCTGTGTGAACTCACTACTTTGCATATTTTTCAGCTTATTAGTGAGAACCTCGAGAGACAAGGCCCATGACCTTGCCTTTCCACGGATGCAAGGAAGGGCAGTGTCTCCTGCTGGTGAACTCAGAGTGCCCTCCTGTCTCCTGATTCTCCCTCACACCTGCTCCAGCCCCGTCTTTCCTTGCCCTCCATAACCAATGTTAAGAAAGACATAACTTCAGTTCAATGACAGACTCCTCATTAGAGAATGCCACAGGATTCCGGTTCTGTATTTTTCGTGAAGCAAGATTCTGGAAAAAGGAGACAGCAGAGCTGGTGCTGTGTTGGCTGGCCTGTTTACCCGACAGCACGCTGCTGGGAAGGGAGCGTTCAGCTTCTGGTTTCAGGATGACTGCACATGACCCCAGTTCTAACATAGCCTGTCATTCATAAATCCCCGAGACATCACAGGCCCAGCCAGATGTGATGTGGCCTGCTCTAATCCTTCTCTGGAGATGCCAGGGAGAGTGGAAGTTATGCCTTAATTAAAAAGGAGATCTGATATTAGAAAATTAAGGCTTTAAAAATGTTTTGAATGGGCCTATTTGAGAGTATATTCAAGTGCATGGGTATATCGATTTAGGAGATACTATCTTATTTCGCTAGATGCAGCTAATTCTATGGGATCATAAAGAAGATAAATACCAAATTGCATAGCTATGGGACAAAGTGTTTCTCTGAACCTCCACTTAGGCTTCAGAAATGCAGCACAATGCACTCTGATTCCCATGTAGATTTCCAGTTACAGGGATCTGTCTCAAAAAATGACCTCAGAGTTAGGATCCTACAAGGACAAGGGACTCTACTGGTAAATATTATTTAAAAGTAAATTCCAATTTTTTTGCTTAAGCCCTCCATTCACTTACGTATTTATTCATTCTTTACCAGAAACCTTTATTTGTAACTGGCTTTGCGCGTGGTATTCTCTGTGTGTGCTATATACAAGGGGGAGGTGTAGAGAGTTATTGTGGCCACCCAACAACTAAAACATACTCAGGCAATGAGAACTTCATCTCTCAACTTAAATACCATTGCAAGAAATGTCCTCGCACATACATTGCTAATAACTAAGTGACTGCTGTAGAAAACGAGGCCTGGGAACAGAGAGAGAAAGTCTAGCTGCCGAGTCAAGCAGATCCGTGCTGAGCGGGGCCTCAAAGGATGGAGAGTGGAGGATTTTGGCCGCGTTTCCGCCTTTCCTTTCCCACAAAAGGCAGAGGGAACCGTGCTCTTCTTCTCGTATTCCTGACTATCCCCTAATGGGAAGTCTACCGTGTAGTGAAACAGCCAGAAGGCCGAGATTCAGAGGGAGAAACAGTGGATTCCAGGATGAGCATGTCCATTAACATCACAGCCCAACTGACTTAAGCTTGGAGGGATGAGCCCTGTAAACTATGAGCACTTGCTCCGGGAAAGTCTTTCAGTCATTATTAGTTGAATGAATGAATGGCCAAGATGATCCCCAGAACTTCCCAGTCTCAACCTCCACTCTCTTCCCAGTGCCACTGCCACGTGCTGAAGTGAAAAAGGCAGACCTTGTTGCCAGGCTCTGTAAATGACTAAATGCTTGTTATGTGCCCCTTTCCTGCCCAGTGAGGTTCTGCGGGGATTTGCAAAATATATACATAATGATTAGGTTGTTTTCATACCTTTGCTAGTAAGACAGTATAATAGTGAAAACATCCTTGTCTGTATTTTCTTGGGCACGTGAATAAGAATGTTTCTTGGGTCGGCAGCTAGGAACATTTCCAGCTTTCCAGGATATTGCCCAATTGCCTTCCAAAGTGGTTATGCCAATGTACACCCCACTAGCAAAGTATGACAGCTCCTGTTTGTCCATGGCCTTGTCAGAACTTGGTACCACACATTTTACCAAGATATGAAGGGTAAAAATGCCATCTCATTGTTGCTCCACTTTGCATTTCCCTGATTACTACTGGAGCCTTTGGCCTGACATCGTATGAGATCTGTGTAGGAGTTATCTATTCCCCAGGCCTCCTGGCTAATTTCTCATAGTTTTGATCTCTGTTTCTGTTCCACCTTATGAATAATAGCTTTGTCCTAAATTTTCTATTTAAGCAACCCATAAGATTTTTAATGTCAATGCTAATATTTTTATTATTAAAAAAATTTTAAGATTTTATTTATTTATTTTTAGAGAGAGGGGGAAGGGGGAGAAAGAGAGGGAGAGCAACATCAATGTGTGGTTGCCTACTGGGGACCTGGCGCACAACCCAGGCGTGTGCCCTCACTGGGAATCAAACTGGTGACTCTGATTCATAGGCTGGCACTCAATCCACTGAGCCACACCAGTTAGGGCTATTTTTATTGTTAGAAATGCTATTTCCTTTGCAAATTTTCCAGATCATCACTATGGTCCTTTTTTCCTTATGTATTTTAAGTCCCCTTTATTATTACTTTTTGCCAATTAAACATGCACTCATTTTATGTATGACTGATCATTACAATATTCAGGGTCATTTGTGGCCTGATTCTTCTATTATGTTTCTTGGATATTCCCAATGGTGTCTTGATTGCTTGTGTGTTTTGTGAGTTTTGACGGTCAGGCCAGATTCTCTAGTGTTTCATTGTAAGAATATTTGGAGGCCTGATTTGAGAGTGGTTTCCTCCAGAGAGTATTGCTTTTATTTCTGCCATGTGCCCAGAAGCAACTGAAGCCTGAAACTGCTTTAAAATAAAATTTTAGCTTGAGATTTTTTTGGTTCTCACAGATAATAGAAATTTTGCATTCAGAAATATGCAAAATACCAGAACCCCCTGTGAGGGTTTGCTTGTTTCTGTGAATTTTCAAGAGACCTTTCCCCGCTTCCACGCAGCACAATGCTCAAGATAAACGAATTTCCTTGTTGCCTCCACAACCACAGCCAACCAGTTCCCTCCGCACTGCAGCTGCGGAGCCGCAGCTTTATGGCAGGTTCTCCCGTTAGACTTTGGGCTATGGCCTTGGCCTCTGCTAGTCCACGCCACCATCCAGGCCCCAGATTAACGCCAGCTGGGCTCTGCAGAGGCCCCGATAGAGAAAGAGAAATTCAGAGCACTCTTACCTTTCCAGATTCCTGCTTTTACTTTATTAGCCTCTAAATATATCTTACTGTCCTACCAGCTCAGTGATGCATTTAAAAATGACTTTTAATTCTGATATTTTATTTAGCATTTTTAGTTGTTTTCAGTGAAGGGATGTTCAGAGTATCTAAATTTCCTGTACTGAGGCAAACAGGAGTTCTACTGTATAACTTATTGTATTTTCTGCATGTTCATAGTGTTTTGTTTTTAAAAGAATAATAATTTTAAGGAAAATCCCTGGAATAAAAAAAATTTTTAAGTCTTAAATGAGGATGGTGAGACTACTGATTAGTACTCCCTGTACTCAGATACGATGCAGACACCTAAAATTAAAGTTGACAACCAAATGAAAGTCTTTAAGATCACATCTTAAGTAATACTTCATTTCCATAAACTGAACTGCTGAGTAATTCTTAACTTACTCTAATCAAATAAGCTTAGAAAGCAAGTATATCTCAAGAAGGAACACACCAAGGCACATCATCATGACATTAGCCAAGATTAAAATGAAGGAGAGAATCCTAGAAGCAGCAAGAGAGAAGGGGACAGTCACCTACAAAGGAGTCCCCATCCCACTGTCAGCTGATTTCTCAAAAGAGACCTTACAG